AAAGAAGACCTTGATCTCGAAAGCAAACAATTTGTCATACTTTTCATGACTTCAGGTGTAAGGAGTTGAAGTCCAATTGTTATTTTATGTTTTGGGCATTATTTTTAGTTGTTATTTTCTTTTTTGGAATGTTTATGTTTTAAGGATGGAAACTCCCAAAATATTCTAAATTCAAAATTTAAACAAATGAATATTTATTTACTGTGACTGATTCCATAATGCTTCAACATGTAAATAGGGTAGTGTGGAATTACACTTGTAAGCAGATAAAACCCAATAAGACAATACACCTGTTCAATGGTGTTGTGTAGCTCCTGAACTGAATTGTATAGCTTTTGAACTGAATTGTCTGGCATTCTTATGGTGAAGCGATTAACCAATAAGAAGTGTATTCCTTGCTTTTTATTTGATATTGGTGGCAATTTAATTGCTTGTATGTCCTGAGTTGGGAAAAATTGATCTTGGTTTGTTTTTAATATTTGAAATATATATTTATTACTAACTTCTTGTTTATAATCATTGCTGTTTATTTGTTTATATATATTTCTGTTCAACTAATAAATATTGTTGTGTGGCATCTATAATTTTCAATAGGAGATCACTCATTAATTAATTGATTATCTGTAATTAATTTCAGAAGCAAGTGTGATTTTTGCTTACATTAAGTGTCATTTTTTGATTGTTGTATTTTTCTTTTCCATTAAGTGCAGGCCTGGTACTGGAAAGAGCCTTAATTTTGTGTAACATTACTTTTTTGTTTTTTTGGACTTAGTGTTGGTTGCATGGTATGTTATACAGTGTCCAATGCAAATCATTGATCTTTCAGATGTTTTTTGAGTTGGCCAAATAAATGCTAATTGTGACTGTTAGGTCAGCGCTGTCAGAATCATAAAAGCCCATAATGACTACTGCTGAACAATGCAGATTGTATAAAGAGTGTAAGAAAATTGAGCACGTCAACTCCGATGCGAATACTTCAAGTGCACTGCTGCATGAACCGATAGATATTGACTTGAAATGAGATAACCAGTGTGAAGTCCCAAAAATCGAGTCAAAGTAAGGCTAATTATAAAATTCATAAGTAAGAGAGTTTCAGAAGTTAAATCGGGTCAGGAGGGTATGTTGGTGACTAAACTCAGACAGGAAGAAAACTTTCTTGTGTATTGTAAAACAAATGTGACGGCAGAGGGGAATTTTGACCAAGAGGGAGCGGGAGCTTTGTTGTCAAGATGCTCGTGAACAAGTGTGGGGTCTGAACAATTGAGAAAAGGGGGGTTAATGACCAAAAGGACATTTTAGAAGTCGTGTAAGCCCAAACCCGTCAGGGGAAGTAAATGGCTGCAAGAACATCTGGCAGCTCATTTAGGTTCAAAAACGTCAGAGAAAAGGGCCATAATGGAGTAAAATGTGAGCATCGACTTCAAGAACTCCATCGACACCTCTCGGACCTTTCCCGACCCGGATTGGTCTTGGGTTTCACCTAGAGACAATTGGGGTAAAGGAGAAGAAAAAGGAGACCAATCAAAAGGTTGAGATGCGTGGGAAAATTCTATAAAACCCCAAGCCTCAAGGTCAAGTGTCGGTTCTCCTTAAGATTTTGGTGCATCCCAATCTGAACTGTTTCGATGTGCCGACACATCCCAGCTGACCCCTCTGGACTTAGGATCTTGTGACTCCAAAAATCATCTCACCCTCGATGTCTGCCCTGGGGCTGCATCACCATCACTGACTGTAGGACGATTGTCAAAATCAACACCAGCTCAAAAGCAGTCTATTTTTGTTCCTAGTGTAAGTTAATTTTTGATTAACACATCAGGGTTGTGGCATTACAAGCAGTGATTTGTAAAAATTCACATGTACTTGCAAGTACTTTCAACAGCTTACAGCTGTCATCCTCGGGCAAAAATCAAATACTATAAATTTTGAACACTTAGCTTTTTAATGGACTATAGTCGAAATTTATAGTATTCGATTTTTGCCTGAGGATGACAGCTGTAAGCTGTTGAAAGTACTCGTGAGCATGTGAACTTTTACAAATCACTGCTCGTAATGCCGCAACACCGATGTGTTAATCATATATTACTCTATGTTGGCATGAAGTGTAAGTTTATTTATGTTTATTAAATTAATTTTATGTGACAAAATAAATGGTTTTTGTGTAAGACACTTGTCATCTCTGTCTCCATCGCCTCCAGCCACATACGATTTGCCCCTAGGTTTTCCTGACACACATCAGGAAAGTTGGCAAGCTGACACCAGCAAGAGTCTTGTTATCACATAAAGATACATAAAACTGTTTATAAAAGTTCTATCAAATCTAACAAAATGAAATTTAGAATGTTTTTAGTAAATGTTTTAATGTATTTATTAAACTTGTACTTTAGTATCTAGAGTGTTGTGAATTAGGAGTACAGTATTAGTAAGTGTATTTTAAAGAAGTTTCTTTTTATAAGATTATTTTGTATTCTAGTAATTTTGGCATTTTTAATGTATAGGAAGACACTGAAGAGGAATTGTATTATAAATCTTTATCCAAAATGCATTTTCTATATGTGAGAAAATACAATATTTTGATCAGTTTTAACTAGATCAAAATTAACATACAGAATTTTATTCGTGTTGCTTTCAGAATTCAGACCCTAAAATATCGAGAAATGCAAAAAACCTGGACGGTCAGAATTTGACTGCTTGTGATATTTTCCATCTGTTACTTTAACAGCCAGAAAAGTAGTAAATGACCTTTCTGGCTGTTGTGACAAAAATCATACAAACTACATAAAATATTTAAAATTAAAACAAAAAAATAAATAAATAATAGATTCAAAAGTAGTGAATTATTATTAAGGGAAAACCTTTGTAACAATTCAGCAAATTTTCATCGTATGGTATGAAGTAGATGGCGATTTGTTTTAACTAAAATGTGCATTAGTTGATACTTGAAATGATGATAAATGAATAGGTTGAATAAATATATCTTTTGACTTTTCATTTTTATTGTTTGAAACTATAACGTAATTTGTAACTAATTTTATTGTATTTTTCATTCTTGTTGGGATAACCAGCTATATTCCAATTAATTTTATTATATTTATTCAATCAGTAAAATTCTTTCACTCTCAGAAAATATGAAATAAACATATTCTAAAACAAGTAAAATGGCAAAACCGTATTTGGGACAAGTCTATGTCTTGGAGACAGAATCACTTTGATGCTCAAGGCAGGTCTCATTCTCATTCTCCTATCTTCTTTGATATCACTGCTTTTGGGCGCAATCGTTCAAAATTTGCCGGCAACGACCACGAGATCGTTCACGATGCATCTTCGATGAAATTAACTTATCTAATTTCGAAATTTCTCTCTGTTGCGTGTTAGCCTGGGTTGAATTTTTGTCGATGTGTAACGAAAAGTTCCCGTTTTTGAAAAATATAATCATGGCTATTGTATCGTCTGAAATTATTTTTTTATTTTGCACAAACAATATACAGTTTAACCCAATTATAATGTCATTGAATGTAATGACAACCTTAATATAACATCAAATTTTTATCGGTCCTACAATTTTACTATACTAGATAATGTTAAAAAAAGCCCACTTGTAACAACGTAAAACTGTTTTAATGTCATATTTGAAGCACTCCCAAATTTACAAAATTAGATTACAAATTTTATTTAACCTAGAAGAAACTGTGTGTTCAGTCCTAAGGTCAGAGTTCACTTCTTAGAATGACTGTGGGTGATACTCTCCCCTACCTGACTTCGGTGGGGTGAGGTGGCTGTTTTGCCTGTTTGTAGAAGAGAGTCGCCATTTTGTATTTTATTTTGACTCGATTCTCGGTCCCCTGACTATCTACTAGTCTAGATTTTTTTATGCGCAAATGATTTGGGCACCTAATAATCTGTGCCAAATATCAACTCTTGACATGTACTCCTTCATACCTCTATGCTGGTAAGAATGGGTGGCAGTACGATTTTATAAACAAGACATAGTCTTGTCAATGATGCATATTCCTGTTATAATTTTTCATTTAGTTAGATTGATTGCTGAATCTTACATTCCTACAATTCTTATTTTATCACTTGCATGAAAAAAATATGTATTTATAAATTATATGTATATAAATATGGATTATAACACACAATGAAATTTGTTCAAGTACTATTTTATCATAAGAAAAAAAATAATTGAAACATTTTAATATATGTCAGTTTTTTTTAATGTTTAGTTTTGATTTATGAAATAAATGTTAGAAGCAAAATTCACATTAAAGATTTTTGTAGAAAAATGTTCATTATTATTTTTATTATGTAGTATGTAAATAACAGTAATGATAATGTGTGTATATTAGATTAGTATGCTAATATTGTAATTATATATTGTTATTCTGTCTTTAGTGGTGAAATTGGTTTTTGCTGTGGAATCTGCCATCTGTGTGTGTGCTGTGCAAGGAGATCAGTGTTCCAGAAAAGAGGATTCTGATAATTGAAGAACAACATATTGTTCTAGCACATTGCTTTGACCTCTGCTTTGGATAATCTGCTGGTTAAATCAGGCTCTGTTTGAGAGATTGTTAACGTTTAAATGACTTGTCTTTGATTTGAAGTTAACTGATTAATATAATTTGGATTGAATTTTCATCTTGATGTATTTTGAGGTTATAACTCTTGAGAAAAATTGCTGTGACATCAGTAACTTTCTCTAACAGGAAGCATCCACATGTCTTGGTTGATGATTCCAGAATACAATTACAGAGAGAAGAAGTTTATACATTATCTCAGATTCCTCAAAAACTCTTGAAATATTTTAGAACTGATACCATCTATGCTTCAATATTACTAACTTGTTACTTGATTTTATGTAAGGGTGGCTAAATAAATAACCAGCTGATACATGTCATGCAAAGCAGAAAATTTTCTTGTGAATACACGGTGCTCAAAAGTTACATATCTATATAACACAAATATGTAGTCTCAGTCATTTGTTTGCATGATTGTGGTGGAAAATGGAAGCATCCAAAGTTGAACAACGTGGTGTAATCAGATTCCTAGTTGCTGAAGGTTGTGGACCCACTGCAATTCATCGACGAATGCAACAAGTGTATGGTCCATACACCATAAGCCTTGCTCAGGTTAAGGTGTGGGTAAAAAAATTTAAGGAAGGTTTGACAAGTTTGAAGGACAAGCAACGTTCAGGACGTCCACAACATGCAGCCACATCACAGAATGTGCAAATGGTAGAAGATCTCATGCTTGCAAACAGACAGATAAAGCTCCGTGATATAGCAGCTGCAACAGGACTGAGTTTTGGTACTGTGCACAAAATTGTGCACAAACATTTGAATTTCAGTAAAGTGTGTGCACAGTGGGTACCACATTCTCTCAATGAAGAACAGAAAACTCCAGACGGGCTTGCCATTGAAGCATCTCAGACATGCTTACAAACAGATGGATAATTCTCCATGGCATTGCTGCTGCAACAGGACTGAATTTTGATATTGTGCACAAATATTTGTATTTCAGTAAAGTGTGTGCACAGTGGGTACCACATTTTCTCAATGAAGAACAGAACAAACTGCAGATAGTCTTATCATTGAAGCATCTTTTACATTTTGCTTTGCAAGGTAATGGTTTCTGCATTGCATTGTGATGAGAGATGAGACATGGTGTTTCCATTATGATCCATAAACAGTATTCTGGTATGCATTGCAAATACCAATTATCTGTACTCAGCAAATGTCAAGGTCTGCAAATATTGATAGAGAAAGTAAGGCTTACCCTCTTTTGAATATCAGGGGCTTCTCCTTGTTGAGTTTGTGCAACACAGCAATACCATAATGCAGCATCCTACTGCAACATCTTGCATACATTATGAATGCAAATTTAACACAGGTGTTCTGGAAAGCTCATGAATGTGAACATCTTGCATTATGACAAAACACATCCTTACATGGCTAGGACAAAGGATCTACTGCAGCAGTTTGGATGGGAGTAGCTTGAGCATCATAGGAGATGCTTAAGCTATAGTCCTAATCTGTTGCTTTATGACTTTCATGTTTCCAGAGAACTAAAGAAAAAGCACTTAAAAACCTGATTTTCCTCAGATGCTGATGTGTGAGTTGTGGGTCCATGATTGGCTCTGCCACTCATGGACCCACAGCTTGCACATCAAAATATCTCTATTAACATGTGCCCAAAAATGCACTGATGGCAAGACAAATTGACATCACTTATCCCCATATTCACCAATGTGAGTTAAATAGAGAGTTGATGAACTCGAAGTCAGATTATGAGTTACTCTTCTTTCATATTCAGATAAAAATATAACTCTAGAGTTAATGTTTTAAAACAGTCCTGCATTTGAGATCAAATAAGTCTTCTTTCATAAGCAGTGTCTTGATTGGTTGAAAGCAAACACATGTAGAAAATGGAGGAAAGTCAAATGGAGAATAGTGCATGCCATAATTTCACAATTTCAAAAAAGAAGTACTGCTCAAATTAGTCAAAAAATACAAATATATAACAGAAGATAAAAAAACAAATGCAGTTTCTTCCAAACAGAAGAGAGATACCTGGGAAGTATTAACCAAAGAATACAATGGTATCCTAGATGTTACACTCAGAAAAAGCAAGCAGCTATGGGACAGTTATAAAAACTTTCAAAAAATGCCATAAAAAAACAGTTGCAGAAAAAAAATAAATTATTTAAAAAGAGGAGGAGGCAGAGGGTTTCCTTCTCCTGTTTTTAAATAATTTAGTTTTTTTCTAAATTTTTAAATAATTCGGATGTGATGGCTGAAAAACTGCTTTCAATGGGTATCCTAACTCAGCCTTTAGAAAACGACTTTGATAGTGATGCCCAACTAAAACAAGTAAGTATTAAGGCATTTAAGGCATTATAATTTATAATTTTTTAAAATTTTGAATTAATTAGTAATATGTTTTAATAGCAGAGATAGCTACAGCTTCTGTAGTAAGGGCTCAAGATATATCTGATGTATCTGCATCTGAAGTAAGTCAATGTTTATTTAGTTATCAATTAATTTATAATACTTAAATGACAATTGTGCAAATATTTATAGTATACATGAAAAACACTTCCTATATAAAGTCTATATTTCACTATATAATAAGAATAATACATGTGTATAAATTACATCTATAATTTAAACTACTACATATAATTTAAATGTAAAATATTTAATATATAAATTGTTTGAAAGTTCATACTGTATGTACTATTCAAATTGTGTACATCTTAATAATTTTCAGTTACAAATGTCTTGCAAGTTTTAAAAGAACTAATATTGATAGTTAGTAATATAGTTTTAATGCCAAGTTCACATATTTTATTTTTAAATAACATAATTTTTTATCTTGCAGGTTTCAGCTATACCACAAATTACTAATGTAATGTTTGTGGATGTCATTGAACCCTCTGTAGATTTTTATATTGAAGAATTTCAAAATATTGATAATCATCAATTAAATCTTAAAAATAATTAATTCCATAAAAATACTGTTTCAACTTATAATGAAATAATCACCTTTTTTTATTTATTTGTTGAAACTGTGTCGTCTTCTTGTTTTTCTTGTGTCAATAAATTCACCAAGTTGTGACATTGAATCAAAGAAATAATCACCTTTCAATCATAGTTCCACTAATGGCAAAAATTATCAAACTAAGAAGAAAAGAAAACAAACTGAAGCCATCTATGAACAGGCGAAAATGAGAAAGGAAACTCTTGAAAAAGGGCATAAATTAAAAATCAAATTTATGACTAAGGAGCATAATATGAAAATGCTATTGATGAAAAAAACAGAAGTGCAGGAAAAGATTTTACAAATTTTAGAAAATAATCCATCTGATTTAAGACTTCAACTAACAAATTTGTAATCTACTTTTCTGCAAAATTATATATATATTAGTGTAAAAAGTGTTTTTATTTTCTAATATAAAATTTTTTATGGAGTATTTGTGTACTGTACTGTATATATTGTTTTTTTACAATAATAATACACTAATAACAATAAAACATTTCAGAAAGCAAATATTATTTAAAAATATATGAAATTTTTATTTTAGCATTAAACAAAAAATTCTGAATTATTGCATTGTTTTTTTTTATTTTTTTAGCAAAACCTTGAACATTTCTGGCATTTAAATATTTGTACAGGCACATCTGAAGTTAAAAAATGAGCATCATCATCATCATCATCATAAAATAATGCTATACTTCCATCTTGTAGTGCAATATTATGAACTATAATATGCACTGCATTCTGCAAAATTACAGTGTAATCCAATAGAAAGGCATGGGAAATGTCTCATAAACCATATTGCCTTTTAACTCCTTGGGACTACCAATTTTTGATAGTAATGTAATTAAACGTAAAAAATATTTAAAACTGAAAAAAACGAAAGAAATGCGTTAATTTTGAAGAAAAAGCTTCAAACTTTATTTTCCATTGTCTCGCCTTTCTGCGAAATTTGACACGGATCTTGATCTTGACCAAGTTGATGCGACAAATTTCGCATCAATCTGTTTACACAGCTGGATGACCTTGAGAACAAATGGTGTCGGATTTCCCGGGACATTCTCAGACGTCTCGGAAGGACAAGGGTTTAAAGTAGGGTGAATACTGGCTGGCCGTATATTTTTAAATATCTTTAAAAAATTAAAATTTTTATTGCGATTTCCGACCCCCCCGTCTTAATTAAATGTATCTATAATATAATCGAGACGGGTTGTTAATAATAATAAGCGCACAGCCCAAACGGTTAGGAGTTGAAAGTTGAAATTTGGTACACACAGTACATCACGAAAACGTGCACTAAGAAGGGATTTTTCGAAATTCCCCCCCGGGGAGAGAGAAGATTAAGGCTTCTATATACATTATGGATACGAGCCCAAACGGTTAGGAGTTGAAATTTGGTACGCAGTTAGGGTACGTCACGAGAACACACACTAATTAAGGCGGCTATACACGATGGGTTAATCCTCAAAGGAGTAACCATGCATGCCTGATTTTGAGTCATTCCTGGAAGTGTGTGGGGGAAAATTTAACAGTTTCGGCGAACTGTACCGACCGCCTGAGTAGAATCGCCCATATTCGTTAGGTTAATCCTCAAAGGAGTAATCATGCATGCCTGACCTTTATAATTTTTGGTAGTTTATGGGGGACAATTTAACAACTTCGGCGACCTGTACCGACCACCTGAGTAGAATTGAAAAACCATTTGATTTTCCTGGCGCAGTGTCAGACTGCGCAGGTCGACCTAAACGTGTGTGAGAACAATGTCTCGTGAATGTTTGGAAGAATTATTTTTTATAACCTTATTAACTTTTATTATTTATAACCTAATAAATTAATTTTTCAGGTTATAAATTATTTTCGGATCAAAAATTTCTTGAGTAAATTAAAATTATAAATAATTTTAATATTTAGAAAACTTCTCAATTCATTTCTTCCGTTTTCATAAAACATCTCGATACTCTTTATCATTTTCTTCTACATTTTAAAAAATTTATTGTTTTAATATCCAAGTAAATTAAAACATGACAACTTAAAATAAGACAAAGTTTAATAAATTCTTTTTAATTATTAAATTATAAAATTAATTTGCGATAATAATGTTTACAATTTGTACTAATATCGGATGTGGTTGAGAATTATTAATATATATTCGTCTATAAAATTTAATCCATGAATTTTTTTGGTAGTAAAATCGACTTGCCATTGTCTTTCGCTGATAATTGATGCTTTTTAACATAATCTATAGCCCAAGATTTCTCTTGAAAAATTAATTTTGTGATCTGAAATAATTCCATTAAAAAATTATTCGTATGAAAAATTAATTTTGTGATCAGTGCTACCCAAACCACTACTACTACTATTTACACCATAGACTTCTATGCATACTTTTTTCCCGCGAGTTTTAATAGAATTTGTTGCCAATAAACATCAGTGGCGTAATAATAAACACAATAGCGTAGCGAACATAACTGCACCCGGGCCGCGACACTATATTGGCGCCCCTTCCCCCTCCAGAAACAAATTTGTTTTTCTTGGAAACCATTTGGCTCCCCTCTGCCAGTGGCGCCCGGGGCAAGCTGCCCCACCCTCTGCTGAGAGGTTTTCTTCCTTTGTGGGCGATAGGAAATTCTGAAGTTCCTCAAGGCCAGGCAGCCTCAAAGGATTAACCTATCGTGTATAGCCGCCTTAAGAAGGGATTTTTCGAAATTCCCCCGGGGGAGAAAGACAGGATTAAGGCTTAACACTTCCATCAACAATGGAAGTGTTACGTAACAATGGAATTGTTAAGAGAAAGTGAGGTGCAAGATTTACAGGCGCAGATGCAGTTTTTTCGTTTTTGCGGGAAATCGAACATATTTTTAGAACCATCTAAAAATTCTCTAATTAGTCTGGAAACAAGGGGACCCAATTCTTGCATTCTGTGAAAATGGGTAAGGTTGACTGTAACGTAATAATCTTTATCTTAGTTATCGTTACTTTTGCCCGAGCAACGCCTGGCCCACCTGCTAGTATATAATAAAATATATTAATTAAAAAAATTTAAAAACTATTGGAGGTCGTTTTTGACATCAGAAAGTAGCTTTAAATAACTTTACCGAAGTCAAATCCGTGCACTACAACTTTAGAACGATTAATTAAATTTGATAAAAAAAAATCGTATTAAAAAAGAATTAAGTGTTAATCGCGCGTCATTAAAGGTTGATTAAAATCGCGATAAAATTTTTTTGCGCGGGTAAAAATTTTTGAAAAAATTTGGAGACATTCCAAAAATAAAAAAAACTTGGGGGGGACCGAAAGGACCGAGTTTTCTGTAACGCTATGCAACTTGCCCGAGATATCTCGGGCTAAGGGCTTAAGGAGATCCTTGTCTACTTTTAATTTGCTTGGTGAAATAAAACTGCCAAATTTTGTGCATTTTTTCATCTAAAAAATTATGTTAATTTACGATATCCTCTGCCTTACAAACATTAAGTCCTAATTCCAAAAACAGGAATTTACAATTACTCCATTCATCCCTATAACTTTTATTTAGGAATATTTTATCACTTAACTTTTATGGAGTACTAGCTTACCCGTCGCGCATTGCTGCGATCTCAGAAGAAACGAAATTCAAGTTTCGTTATGATAAAATTAAATTTACATTATATCATTTTTATTGAAACTCAGTATTATATTATTATTATTATTCATTTTAATTGGGAAAATATTTCAAAGTGTCGTTTCAATTCTATTTATTTATTGGAGTGCTTGTGGATACACGATANTCTATTGGCCCGCTGTCACTACGCTTCGCCAATCGCGTTAATTCTTGGCAGTTGTAGCGGACATACAAGAATGTCATGGCAGTATGTGATAAATGATGATATCAAATGTGGATAACAATGAAATGACCTACACGTGTAAATAACGGAAAAAAGAACAGAGAAGGACCGCGAAGTGAAAATGTGAAAATAAATATGAAATTGAGTTGATAACATAATCGAACAAGTCGAGGCAGCTTATTGGCGCGAAATTCGCGGCCGTCAATGCCAAACAATTGTTGTCATAGACCAGAAAACTAAATGCTTGTAATGGAAGTCACGGGCGAAAGCCTGGGGCCGTTCGGGCTACCAAGCTGTCTCGAATCTGTGAAATCATAACTGTGACTTATACCGACGTCCTATTTGTCTCTTTTCTCCGTTATCACCAGGCTATGAGTCACGTAATTGTAAAATGGGAAATCTACGACGGAAAAGTGACGAATCGAAAGTATCGTGAGCGCGTATTATGATGTATGCATAGGCATACGTGGACTAGAGCGATAGATGAAAAAGAAAGAGAAGAGCAAAGACGAGCGCTTAAAAAGAAGGCTAGGCAGGGTCAGACCCTCAGATGTGCGACGATTCTCGAACGAATAGGTGTGTACGTGAGCTGATCTTTGTAATTATAAATTGTGAATACAAGTGACTAATATTACTTTTTTTTATTTTGTGCATGTTATAGGTTATAAATAAATATAAACAAATACCCGATAACACCAACCCGATAACATTAAATCTAAATACCAGAATGATTAATTTACTGTGTTTTTGTTATTTCTTACTCCCGTTTTTAGGTATTCGGTATTCGGCCGAATAGCGCAAAATAGGCCGAATACCGAATAGTAACCGAATATTTGTTACATCCCTAATAATTAACTTTTTTTCTTGACCACTTTGTAAATTTAATACTGATGTTAACAGATAAGCCTACATCCATATCCACTGTCACCAAGATGATATTTTGATGGAATGTCTCCTGTTTCAAACATAGCACAGATGACTATTGGCAAATATAGTGCTATCATGAGAACTATCTGGCCATTTGGCTATTATATTTCTGAGTTTAAGCTGGCTATCTGAAACTGGCTGAAACTGATCATTAATTGAAAAATACCCTTTTCTATTTCAAAATAATTCAGCAGTTTCTCTTCCCTGTGACTGAATTGGAATGTGGGCGCAGTCAATGGCTCCATACACATGCTGAAAATCACTGAAATTTAAAAAGTCTTGACTTATCTGAAAATATAAATATATACTTGATCTATTATTTTTATATTTTATTATAGTTCATATTTTGAAAAGTAATGTATTAATTAAATGAATAAAGACTATATATAAATTAAATTAACGAATCTAATATAAAAACTTGTAAAAAAACAAGATAAAATTATTCTATTACTATAATATAGAAAGATAAAGGAATATTAGGCCTACTTACTTGCTTTCTTTCAGATTCTGTTTTAGGCTGTTGAATATAATCTGCTAAGATTTGCACAATTAAAAAACTCACTCTATTAATCGCTCTACAAGCAGATGATTGACTTAAATCATTTAAATCGCCTACGACCAACTGAAATGTTCCCGTGGCATAAAAACGTAGAGCCAACAACAGTTGTTCTAATGGCGACATTGCATAATTTTTCGATGTAGATATTAAATTATGCCTAATTCGTTCTAATATGTTTCTTAAACTCTCTTTTGGCAAACGATATCGACATAAAGTCGTAATCGTCCAATTGTTCAAGGTCATTTCTTCTTGGAGAAGAAATCCGCAGACTTCTTCGTTCCATACGATCTATATAATCTAGATACTGTATTTCAGATTTTCTAGCATCTCGGTTTCGTCGTCGTCGAATGTCGTTCCATTTTTCCTTGAAATAGGTCACTTTGTGCAGGCATCAAACACAGAGTTATCGTGTACTCGCGATTTTCTAGAGTTAGGGTGCTTATGCAGACGCGAATTTAGAGCGAGCGAGAGGTTGCGAGCGATTTAGTTTTCGCAAAGGAAAACCATGCACAAACAAGAAGCGAGAAATAACGCTGGCGAGAGCGAATTTCTGGTTCTCGCACATATCTGACAGGTTTTGATATTTATCGCGTCTCGCCTCTTCTCGCCACATATTCTCGCTCGCTCGCGTCTGCATAGTCGCACCCTAGAGTTATTGTGTTTGACTCGAGATTCGGAGTTGGTGAATACCAATTTACCAATAACTCGAGAGTTAACCCTAACTCTAACTCTAACTCGCGTTGGTGAATACGGGGGTTAGTGTCATGACATCAAATTTCCTTATCAGTGAAAATAGAGATAAGTAGTGTGTATTTGTGGTGTAATGTAGTGCTGTGAGAATGATGTGTTGTGTGAGAATGATATCATGAGAATGATATCATGTTGTGTGAGAATGATATCATGCATGATATCAATATTTGCATATGCAAAAATGAATGGGAACAATTTGGATGTTGCAAGGTGATACCATAAAATATATGCTATACCATTGTGCAACATTGTTTTGGAGGCAGCACAAATCATCTACAAGACATTGCCTGCCTTATTATTGAATAAATATTCTGTGTGCATTTCCTGATGATCATTCACGTCAGCAATAAGCAATGTAAAAGCTGGAACTGAGATGAATAGCCATAAAGTATTTAGTTGCTGAAATTGAATTAACAAGATTTTAGAATTGTAAAGTATTGATCTTTTAGCAGAGATGGAAAAACAGAAGCGCGACCTTGTCAATTGGACCAACGTGCGGTCGGGCAGTATACCACTTGTAAGGTGTTGACTTGTAAACAGAGGGAAAACAAAGGGAGCGCCGACTTTGTCAATTCGACCCACCTGTGGTTAGACGATAGACCATTTGTCATATGGTAAACAATTAAATGTAAACAAGTGGCGGACATTTATGTAAGCTTCACTCTCGTTGGATGACGGCGGACCCTAGTGTAAGCTGTTCGGGTTAGAAAGGGTTGTGATTGGTCGGAAGTCCCCGTCCAAAAAACCCTTAAGTTGTGGGGCGAACGGAAGAGAGAGGAGAGAGAACAAGAGACTGATACACGGTAGTCTCAGGTACTTGGGATACCCGCCGAGAGCAGAGAGAGTGTTCTCCTCTGGTAATCATCTCAGGGACGTGTTAGTGCGGAGACCGGATCGACCGTGCAGTTGAGCCGTCCCTGAAAAGGACCTTTCAATTTAATAATAATGTGTGAAATGTTTGCATAACCTTAAAAGGTAATGTAAACATTTCAGAAGTTAAATGCTAAAGAAATCTGCTATTAATGCATTTCTCTTTGCAAATCCAGCTGTATTCTGACTTCTGACAACAGGCACGGGAACATCTTCATTCATGCAAATATCATCAAATTCTTTTGGAAGTGTCATATTTTCATGTGAAATTGCAATATTATGATGCACTGCAGTGGCAACTATGACAGCCATAGCATTTTGAAGGTTACAATATAAACCTACTGATAAACGGGAAACATCGTTTCCATAAACTATATTGTCATTCCACTGTTCCGTGCTTTTACTTGGCTTCTGTTATATCTTTCAAAGAAAAAATAATTGATGTTAATTTTGAAATGTGTACGATCATTTGAAATTATATTATGCATTAAATATAATATTTTAATAATATACATTATAAAACTAATAATTACCAGTGTTGCAACGAATAGTAGAGAGGTTGAGGCGAACGTTTTAAACGTGTAAACGTGTACGTGTGACGTTCGGCGCCGCTTTTCCGTAAGCCTAAAAGTTTGACGATGGTGTTTGGAATGTCGATCATGATTCCACCGACTATCCAATCACCATTGTCAAACTTTTAGGCTTACGGAAAAGCGGCGCCGAACGTCACACGTACACGTTTACACGTTTAAAACGTGCGCCTCAACCTCTCTAATA